AGCCGTCAGATGCGCCTGTGTAAGACCTTCAGAGGCTCCAGTGTGGGGCCCTCAGAGCCGCCGCCGATGTAGGGCCTTAAGAAATATTGGTGTTAGTCCCTCAGATTGGCGGTGTTGGGCACTCAAAGGCGCCGGTGTGAGACCCTCACAGGCGCCGTTATGGGCCCTCAGAGACACTGGTGTGGAGCCGTTCCATGCGGGTATGGGCCAGGACCCTAATTAGAGCTGACGCTTAATAGGTCAGCAAGGTCACTCAGAGGCCAGCACAGGGCCCTCAGAAGCCGGAGTGGGGCCCTTATGGAGATGTGTGATGCGTGGCGACTCAGGAGCCCGTGACTCCGTGAGGTGCTCTCACGAGTCCTGCGGGTCTTATCTCAGTCGAAATAAGGCGCGCTTGGACCCTGAGCGGCCAATTGGCATTGCAGGGCCTCTCGGGCCCATAGGGCACCATGCATCTAATGAGGCGGCACGCGCCCCTTGTGCCCTCCCCCCCCCCCCCCCCCCGGTTACGCTGCACTGGCTGCGGCCATACAGGTAAATCATATTCTAACCGTCCCTATTCCCAAGCATAGGCGGCGGCCGATTCCTGGTTTGCGCAATATGAGTGCCATCGTTAGACAATACGGTCAAAAGGGTTGAAGCGGCATGACTCCCCTGTGGTAAGAACTAAGAAGCAACATACTTTTAGACAAAATAAAGCAATGACAACTTAATTGAGGTTACTAAAACGACTCTGATCACAAAAGTAGTTACTAGGAAGGCTTTCTAATCCATTTTTATTTAGTTCCTCGTTATAGGCGTAAGAAGTGTAAGTCTGAACGGGGGGCATACCTACTTGTAAAGTTGTACTGAATGCCCTCCCCAGGCTCCTGTCGGGGGGGGGGGCATATGCCCCTAATGCCCCCCTGGATCCGCCAGTGAATTACCTAACAAAAAGGAGTCAATATTTGTTATATTTATCTAAAAGCGCTGCAACTAATCATTGTGAGGGTTGTACCCGTACTCAGAAAGGTTCCAGACTGGGTCTACCGGTGGTATAGATAACCACTCAGTCGGTTTCCTGCACGCAAAAAGTTGCCCGGGAAGGTGTTGGGTCCACACCAATCAAATTAACAGCGTCCTTCAGATCACATCACTAGTGGACGACTCTTATCACATTCACTTACACGCCCCATTGTTTGCGCTCGATGTCGATCCAGATACCAGCATAATGTGAAGGCACAACATCGGAGGCGGTCGCCTGTTCTGCTCTGCTCTCGGCGCGCGGCCGCCGCCGCCGCGGGCGCAGTTCGGCGAGTCCGTCGGCCGGCGCCGCCGCCAATGCGCCGCGAGTGCCGCACGCCGCGGCCGCTTTGATCCGGCACCATAAAGCCTTTAACGACCGGCGTAAAATGCATCCGCGCGGTCTGTTGTGAGCGCGCCGGCGGCCGCGCCGTCCGGAAGCGCGCGCGCCCGCGCCGCGTCCCGTCGGCGGCGGCACGTCGCAGGCTCCTGGTCCGCCGCCGTCGGCCGGCTCCCATGGCGGCCGAGCGGCGGCTTTTTGCGGGCCGACGGCCGCCGGTCGGGCGGCGGCGGCATTCTGACCGCGGCTCGCGACGACCACACACAGACAATGGGCGCGTATCGGCCGAGCCAATCGCTAAAATGCTGCCCCACGTCAGTCGGTTTGATTTATGCTTGACAGAGATTGATGATTTATTGGCGGACCGCCCAGGAGTAATCCTGTCATTAGCCACCTTTTTTGCCGGGCTCATATGTTCTGAGCACGCTAATGGGTCGCCGCGCGCCTTTAAAGTCGCGTCGATTGCAAACGGGAATCGCGGCGCGTCAGCGGCGGCCTGTGAAGCCGGGGCGGCGGACCGGCCGCGCCGCTGACGGGCGGCCGTCGTCCGGCGGTGACGGGTCGCTGACGGGCGTCCACCGGTCACCGGGTGACGGACGGAGCTGCCGGCAGCTGCCGGCTGAGCGGTCACGGCGCGTCCAGCGGCCGGCGCCGGCACTCCGGGCATGCCTCCTGTTGGGGACGATGATTTACACACAAAATGATATGTGATTAGCATTTGGTTCTACGAAAATCGGACAGGCTACATGGATAATTTAGGTGCATTAATTGCGTGGTAGTGGTTTCAACTTGTTGATTTGACATTCATTCAGACATTACATTTACTAGTTTCTGCCGCAAGTTAAGGTATTGCTTAGTAACTTGGTAGTTGCTGGAAGTTATTATTTCATGTTGTTAGCCAGCTTTGCCGCGAATTGAGCAAAATACTTCTAGGTTTCACTTTCTAGACTTCACCACGAATTGGTGGCTGTAATAATTGAATGCCAGAAGTTTCGGGCTGTGTTTCCCTCTCCGAGGTGGCGGTACGGGTTGCCCGACACATGGACGAAAAGCGGCACGACGCCCCTCTAGCTCGGCTCCTAAGTCCTACGAGCCGAGCTAACTATAGTAGGTACTGTAAGCCGGTAGACAAGCAGTACCTAAATTAAATTCAAGTCACTTGTAAAGCATACAAGTCATTTGAGGTAATGTGAAAGGCCAACCAAGCTATGAAAGGTTACCAGTGCAGATGATCTGATTTCCTCGATTTGCATGCTAGTTGAGCACTTGCATACATGGCTCACATGCAACAAAGACTGCTTCCTGAAAATTATCTTACAACTTAGGTATGTCAATGTTTTAGAAAATAACTTTTTATAAGAAGGGTACAATGGATCACCACAGTGTAAGAGGGACCACAGTGATCCGTCTTGCCTCAAGTCTAAATTATGTCATTATTATGAATGACGCATATGTTTAATAGCTCAACAATACGAAACCTTGCCTGTCCTGAAGTGTGAACATAGCATTGTTCTTCACAGTAAAGTACAAATGAAAAACATACAAGAAAGGCGCCGAAATTAAATCACCTTTAGACCTCTTATATTAGATCGGTTTGACGAAAAACAGTATTTTTCTCAAAAGCTTAAAAGCTATGCATCCTGACCACATGAGCTCAAGGTGGCCATTGGTACGAAGGAAAACTTAGGTAGTGACTGGGTTAAAGGTAGTGTGCCACCTTTGAAAGATTTCCCATTTTATTTTTCCTAGGATAAGAAGCTTCTGTTTTTACATAATATCGCAAAAAAAAAATCAAAAATGGGCCTGGAATAGTGCCTTTTTCGCCTAAAAGTTTTTCGGTTTTTAGATATGTATAACAACTGTAGTGGGCTCACCTGCAAACAGGCGTCGGGCAACAATCGCGAATGCGGCGCACTTGTGACAATAAGCAAAGGTCATTATAGTGTTACGACCATACGACGTACGGGAATGAGTTATCAGCTGTCTAATCGTAGACAACACAATGTCGAGCCTTAAACTGTAAGCCCGTATTGGTATTGTTTCTTTTATTTGGCTGTCGAACATTATTTATGGTTTGAAATATGATTTTATGTAAAATAATTGATATGAAAAAGCCGTCTTATAAGTTATGACCCCATTTCACCACACGCAAGTGGCAGAAATGACAATGATCAGCTGACGCATTTTTCTTGGCCGAAGTCAGAGCGCGCGGCCCGACGCACCACGCGTATTTGGAAATTCCGACCTCGACGAGCATCAGAAGCCACCTAACAGGCGTGTTCGAAACCGCAGGAGATGATGATGAACGGGTTTATCGAAACTTGATTGGATGAGCATATCGGTAATAGCGATTTCAGTGTGTGCATTTATTGTTCATAGTGGTGTGAAATGTGGTTGGGGTACGACCGACAACCCGTCGGGGCGAATTTCGCACTGGGGTACCCAAAATTTGAAGAATTTAAGACGTTTCCATGAGTTTTGAAGGTATGGATAAGTTCTAAAAATCCGGTTCTCCTTATCTGGGCCATTAACTCCATACGGTCCAAGAAAGCTGGCACACTACCTTTAAGCAGCAGATACCAGCAGCGGTTCAGCCGGGAAGGCTGGTGGTCCGTTTTGCCCCGCTGGGCCGTCTTACCCCACCTTACCCTACTCACTAAACCCACCGGTGCAACGGGAAGGCCACTAATGCTATAGAGTTGATGAACCTGAATCGGTTTAGTTTGCCACCCATTGGCAGCGCATCACAAACCCCGCATCCACTGGACTATGCCATTAGGAATTAGGATGCATAATCTGTTATGCCTCTGCCAAAACACCATCTTGGGTTAGACAAGTCCATGCAAATGCCCAATCGCTCTAGCGCCTTACGTGGTAGGTAATGAACTTCATAACATTTAGCTTCGCGTGATCGTCAAGTCAGGAGGGCACCTGGCTCTGGCTCCCTGCCAGCAGACCGTCTTAGGCCAGGGCCTAGTGCATCGCCGCACGGGCTGCAGATTCAGTGGCAGTGGCCCTTGATATCACCCGGTGAACCTCACTAGCATCCGACTGATCCCATCGCCCGAAATAGCGTCGGCGGTTTACGACTGCTAAAAGCATTCCCCGCACAACGCGGCTGACTAAGGGTCTGCATACCGACCCCGTCTGCATGTGAACGAGCCCACAGAGGGCGGAGCGGCCATGGAGGACAGTATGAAACCAATGGCCGACATACGCGACGCCTTAAAAATGGAACCCATAAACATTTTACAACTTAGAGCTATGAGCTGATAGTCATGCCAGCGGCCATAACATTGGTACCGGGATCGGAGTGAGCGCGTTTCACTTTCGATTCAGTTTTAATTTCCATTTCGAGCTTGGTATGTTGTCGAGTCGAGAGTGAAGTTTGTGGCTTGTGTGTAGGTGAGGCTTGGGTAAAATAGACCTTAGCAGTTAACACCTTGTCATATGCTCTCGTGGGCGCCCCGGCCGGGGAAGTGTAAACCGAACTTGTCCAATCGATCAAACACGTTCCAGAAATTAATTGTGGCTCGAAGACGCAGGAAAATTGATGCATCATTCATATCACATAATGCATTTGGTGCAGCTGACACACCTTTGGGCGAGATCTGACAATTGATATTTGGGTTAGCGGGGAAAATAAACACGGTTAGGGTTACAAGTTAACGAAACATTTATTTAACAAGCAAAAAAAAAAAAATGGGCACAACTCCGTAAATTACACATTACACAGCTCAAAACAATGAATTGTGTGATTTAGATGCGCACTGATCAAGTGACCATTTCAGGATGATCGCAGTACATCCCGTTCTGGTGCGAATGGTATTATTGACTATTGGCACGATAGGAAATGGTGCAAATGTTGTTGACTGTTGACACCACATCATTTCGAGCATTCGCCAGTTTGCAAAAACACACTCATTACTCGACAGCTCACAGGCAACAGTTTACAGCAGGCGCCAGGCAATGAACCAATTCGTTTTTACCTGAGCGTATTCGAAACCCGCTCAAAATGACTCTTATAACACATCACAAGAACTGACATTGAAAATGCAAAAGGAGAGTGCGATAGCACCACCTATCACAGGTTCAGTTTCTTTTTCTTGCTCTTCCTCTCGAGCTCACTGCGCCTGGCCTCGTCCTCCAGTCTCTGTTTCAGCTCCCGGCGCCTCCGTTCCGCCGCCTCCTGCTCGTCTTCCTTGGGAGGCTGCGCTGGCGGCGGCGGGGCCGGCGACGCTGGCGCCACCTTCACCGGACTCGCGTTCAGCGGCGAGGCGGGCGGCGCAGCGCGCCAGGCGCCGGCGTCCACCAGCCGCGCCGGCACCAGGCCCTGGTCGGCCATCTCCGTCTCGAACCGGTCCTCCCCCAGCGGCCGGGTGCGCAGGGTGGCCAGCGTGAGGCGCGCGCCCGACTCTCTGTAGTCCTGCAGCTCGCGGTCCCGGGCAGCCACCTCGGCGAGCAGGCGCCGCTCGCGCGCCTGCATCTGACCCAGCGCGGTCAGCAGCGGCCGCAACAGCCGGCCGGCCAGCTCGGCGGTCGGCAGCGGCCGCAGCCGGAACTGCCAGCGCAGCGGCACCCCGTCGCGCCGGCTGTCCAGCCGCAGCGTCGGCCCGTCCCAGGCGGCGCCGCTGTCGGCCGCGCCGACCGCCGCCGCCAGCCGCGGCAGCGCCTGCTCGCCGGTGGCCTCCAGCGCCGGGTTCAGCTCGCGGAGACGCTCCACGAACGTGTCGGCGTCCACCGTCTCCGTCCACAGCTGGCACAGGTCCGTCAGCAGCAGAATGTAGCCGCCATCGCCGGCACTGAACTGGTACAGCACTTCATCGAGACCTTCCCACGCGCGCCAGGGCGTAGAGTTTGACTCAGCCATGACAGAGATCTAGTGATGGAAATGCAGGATTCACCATCAATCATGTGACATTAATATAAGGTTAAATACTAGTCCACCTAGGTACCTTGACAGCCTCAAAGCATTGAACATGAGTTGCTAGCAAATATATGATTCATGTATATAAATCTTGTTCCCTATGGCCTATCGCCTATACTAATTCTTTATTTTATAAAAATGGTTGATGCAAGACTGACATTTTTAGGAAGATCACTGAATCATTTAGGCTGTTAACCCTATTCCTGGCGGGGGGGCCTCAGGAGCCCCCCCCCCCCTGAGGTTTTTTGGTTATTTCTCCCAAACGCGTTGAGCTAGGAAGCTCAAATTTTCTGACTTTTCCTAAAAGGCTTCTACGCAACATGTCTGAAAATTTTGAGTTGATCTGACCTCAGGTCAGGTCACCAGAGGCGGTTTGGTGACCCTACCTCAGAAAAGTTTGCAATCACGCCAGAGCTAGAGTTTTTGACCGATCAATTTCTTCTCTTCAGGCTTTAGTTAGGGTACCAGTATGTGCAATTTGTATATCTCGGAATTTTGATATCGGTGACCTAAGGTCAGGTCAGTTTCGCGACCTCCTCATTATAAGTCAATGGGGGAAAAATCAACTCCCTGTTTTTACCACTAAAACGGGTCGGAATGGCCCCATATACCATACATGACTTCATATACGATCAACCTTCACTACCTTGAGGTCTGTTTTGCTGTTGGGCAGCTGTGAGGTCATGTGACGTCATCAAAGGTCACCAAAGGTTTTTGGCCAATAACTCCGTACAGGAACAAGATACAGACGCGTGGATGGTCTCATTGTGTTCAGCTCGTCAAGACGCATCGAATGATATACATGATGACCTCGAGGTCACGTGACCTGAGGTCAACCTTTGACCTTGACCTTTCGAGGTCAACATATATATCATTCGATGCGGATTGACGAGAGGATCACGATGATGCCCTTAGTTTGTTCCTATCTTGACTAATTCGAAAGTTATTCGAGAAAAACTCTCTCCATATCTAGCGCCGCCATTTTGACTTTTTCGACCCCTGTGACGTCATCTTTGACCTGACCTGAAAATGACCTTGGTAAAAATTGTAGATCTTGACCGTGCGTATCCGATGCCGTTTACCGTTTGTCGCTGCAATGTGTAGTTTTTGAGATCTGAAGGGGGGGCCGAATCGGCCCCCCCCCCCGCCAGTTTCTTGTCCCGGCGGAGCCCGCCAGGAATAGGGTTAAACCATTAATTTGAAATGGTAATGGACAAAAACCAAATCTGAAACTGGTTTCATGGTTAGAGGTCAGGTAATAATAACCCTAGCACACCAGACTCATAACTGGATTGAAAAATATCTTTAGAAACAATAAACTGACCTAGAAACTGTGGAAACAGTAAGGTACTGTACTTACCTTCAAAAAGTACAATATCTGCCACAAAATTCTACGAAAAGGACTGGAGAGCCACTAATCATGCGCCACAGATTGCCATGATCACAAAATAACCTAAACCAGTCACACATGACATTCTGATACTTGTCACTCTAACCAAAACTAACTAAAACTGACCTTATCCTACCTAAAGTGATTAGTGAACCAACCTAATCTTAGCTTATCTAAAATTGACCTAACACAGCCTACATGACCATTACAATTTACAACGGTCAATGTAGATAACTACCAAGTTTGTTGGCAGTGCTCTTACTTACCAGTGTCTTATAACTTAGAGTAAAAAATATTGTTAGTATCATGGCACTCTTCCAGGCTAAAATAGGGTGTTCTATTCTAAGTTTTCTTCCCTTTCATATTTTGTGAATTTCCACACTTCTCGGGGCGTGGTAAGGTAAGGGCTCATATAATCCCGTTTTATGTTAAATACATTTTCAAGACTGATTTTAAGTGAAGATATGATTTTCGAAGATCTGATAAAGGTACCCAAGGAGGTACCCCTATGCATCGCAAGTAAAACATGCCGTATAAAAGGAGTATTTTAAAGGGACTATCCCACCTTCTAAAATGTTGTTAAAACAAGTTAAATTGTGCCCGACTTTATAGATTGGATGACGAGGAACCTGGAACACAGTTCTGGCATATATTTTTCATAAAACATCTTAGGCTTCCCATATTCCAAACACAAACTTTCAAATATGTGACGTCACAGCCCAAAATTACCTCCTTCCCCAGGCCACATTACTGTCATAAAGCTGATTCTTTTTACTCTGTAGGCACCACAACAAAGTTCAGACCAAGTTTTAAGCGATTTTTCAACGAACAAACCCATTTAAATCAGAATGACTAAACGAGGTGACGTCACACTAACGGTCGCTCCATGTTGAAGATAGGGCCTTGTAGACGTACAAGGCCCATTTACAAATGAAGGGAACGAATTTCTTCAACACCAAGAGGCCGCGGGGGTTGCAACCTAGATAGATAGTGGTTTCTGAACCTCGCCGCAAACTTGGCTATCTCAACTCAAACCCCATGTTAAAGGTGGGATAGTCCCTTTAAGGAGATAGTTGTTCTGTGTTCATGATAACACACATGCTTTAAAGATCATCCACATGCTATTATAGCACTCTGATATGTAATTGAGATTCGTCATTTACTGATTCGCTAGTCGCTACGCACTCACCTCGCTCTTCCCTCAAATTCAAATTATTCTGCCCAAATTCTGCCCATTCGTCTGTTCCGTCCGTCAACTTCAGAAAGCCAGTGGCCGATTTTGTTTACAATCAGCTGTTCAAAGATGTAAAAAGCAAAAACCATAGCTCACAAACTAACCAATCGTTTATAGTTGTGCTCGCTAAAAACGTTTTTCGTTTCGATGTATTTGCAAAACGAACACACATTTTTTCGCCAATAATGTCACTGCTGCGTCGTACCTGCTTGTCTGACCAAGGCGGTTTTTAATTCCAATTTCATACATTTAATTATTACCAAATAATGTTTCGGCCACCTCACCATCATCTTTTATTTGTAATTCACAAAGATGAGCTTAAGTAAAAAAGAATGGATTAAAATGTATCGTTTTAGTGATGAATTGTGCTAGGATATTGCCAGTCTGCCAGTGGTGTTGCCATGGCAACAGTCTGGACGGTATCATATCATAACAAAAGCCACCGTATTTATAGTCACCGTGACAAAAGCGATCGTGTGCGCGGTGTGTGCCTAAATGGCGTTGGGTGTGCGTATTTTTGGGTTTGGCCGAGTTCTATAGCCTTGGGTTTAACATCAAATACTTATTAACTCTGACGTATTAATTTGGTACCGTATTAATTGTTCCAAATTCGCTATGGAGGATCACCTACGTATCGCCGTGGATCGTCTGGGAGACCCCGTCGTTCAAGAAACTCCGGGGCAGGGTGTGTTTCAAGCTGTCGAAGAGGCCAGGTCATTAGTGAATTCTACGTCAGAGACTGTACTGGCGGAATGTAAGTTCATTTCGCTCGGCGAATCGCTAACATCGCAAGGGCCCAGGAGAGGAAAGGTCACGAGTCGAGTGAAGTGCACATCATATTCATACCTCTGGCAATTTTAATTTACTTATGTTGTCTGGCTCTGCTAGTTGCTACCACTCTTGAACCTATCCTATCAGACATCAGTATTGTCCTTGCAGGCTGCATCTGCATACCCCTGTTCGTTTCCACTTGTACTAACAAGTAACAACTAACAGCGTCTATACCATCGGCCCACCCGGTTGTTTGGACTTTGGCAGGCCTGTGCTCGCCGGAGCTGGTGCTGCTGCTAGCCTCGGAGCACGGGCCGCTGTGTGCCGCCGCCGTCGAGCTGGTGACCGCCGTGGTGCGCCGGCTGGGCGGACGGGTCAGCGCCGCGCTCGACGACGCCGAGGGCTTCCTGGAGCTGCTGGACGAGCTCGTCTACAAGCTCTCCACCATCAGCGACCCCAGCTGCGCTCGGTGAGCTGCGACCGCGAGCGAAGAGCAGAGACCAGGGGTCCACTGAGTCAGTGGACCCCTGCAGTGGACCCCTGGTCTCTGCTCGTCGCTCAGTGGCACTGACAGTCCATTAATTATCAGTCCATGTAGGCTGCAGTAGCACATTTACATAACAACTACGAGTTTTTGTGTCACTATTATTCATCTAAGTATTAAGATGAACCCCGTAAACATTGCATATGAGCCACCTCTTATCTCTTTCGTTTCGGTATTACGGCAAACTTTCTGGGTGAATCGTTTGTAGGTGTGGATTAGCGTTTGTAGCATAACAATTAACAATGATGGGCACGTCCATGTTTCCGTCTCTCCTGTTTGTCATGTCGATGTCGAAAGCCAGCGTTTTTGCCGTCCGATATCCCCAGCGCCATAGTCAGCGTGCTGATGCTGATGCTGGAGAACCACGCCGACGTTCTGGAGCTGGTCTGCCAGAATTACCGCGGCATCAGGCCCGTGCTCAAACGCTGGCACGGTGGCGGGTTCGACCTGCTCCTGCTCAAGTTCGGCGATGCCGTTGTGTCAGGTAGCCGTCGCACGATTTTTGTTTCTGTCATTCTAAAATAATCGTTAAAAAGTGCTGAGACGCATCGAGTCTTGTGTGGTTTACAGTGTGGAATGTTGCGAAATCACCAGTGCAGGCACCAGTGCCGTTAAAGGGACCCTCCCACCTTCAAAAAAGTTAATGAATTGGCACGAAAGTGATGTCGCTCGGTTCAGAAAGAGCGAAAACGAATATCTACCAAATTTCATCGAAAAATATTCACCGGTTTTCAAGATATTAGACTTTTACTTTTGTTTACTTTTTGGGATCTCCGCTGTTCCTAGCGACTTTATTTGAAAGTGCGGCATTTGTTGCGCGCAAAGCAGCATATACCACCGCGTGCTACCAAACGTTTTAGTAAAAGATTTAAAAATCGTTAGATCTCCGCTGACGTCACAAATTCTAAGGGGGCATACCAATGCACTAGCCCCTTAGAATCCGAAAACTGCAAGTTTGAAATTCCATATCTCCGAATTAAAGCATTTGTCGATGTTGTGAGTGCCCAAACCGGTATTTGCAGGCCATGGCCACCAATTTGGCTATCTCAACTCAAAACTAATGTTAAGGTGGGAGTGTCCCTTTAACGACTTCGGTACATTCCAGCGGCGTATCGGCCCTTCTCAGTCGCTCCTTGGCTGTATCGTATGTCTTGGACTCCGACTGACCTCAGTCGGCTGCTCTCTCGCAGGTGACCTGCAGCTGGCTGAGTCGGAACACCAGCGGCGGGCAGCCACCCTGATACAGGCAGTGTACCGCGGCCACCGACTGAGGCGCCGACTAGCGGACGCCACCGGAACCATCACCCGCCTGCAACGGAGAATCAGGTGGGGTGGCGGCAAATGCTAACACTGCATACGCTTCATTTGATATCGGTTGACGAAAGGTCGTGCGTCTCCTTCGGTGGAACTGGAGGCCTTCTGCTTCGATGATGTGAGTTGGGTTTACTGAAACGTTAGTACGATATAACTGAAGGGACAGGCGAGCCTGGCGAGCCAGGCGATGTGGATCGCGATTAACGAACGTTGCCGACCATCTGCCGGTTTGAGGGTGTCCTCGCTATGCGTTTCAGGCGGCGCCAGCGGCGGGCGTTTCGTCAGCGGCTGCAGCAGCGTTGGGAGGAGACGGCCGCCTTCAGCAGCGCTCTGGAGCGGCAGCAGCGGCGGCGCGAGCACACGGAGCGGGTGCTGCGGGACGTGGCCCAGCTCAGCGCAGGTCGGTCACCGGGACTGGCAACTCAGGGAAACCACCGCCGCCACTGCCCGGCCTGACGCCCTGTTCACTGTGTGTCACGTGTGCCAACCCTCAGGTAAGGTCCCGGCGTTCCTGCGGACTCGCCGGGAGGCGGCGGCGGCGCGGATCCAGGCCGCCTGGAGGGCTTACCGGGTGCGGCGGCGGCTGGCCGAATGGCGACTCCAGCGGCGCCGGCAGCGCGCGGCGGTGACGGTGCAGCGCTGGTGGCGCCGCCGGCTCATCGGCCTTAGGGTGGACCGGGCGCTGGGCGAGCCGCCGCTCGAGATCACACTGCAGGAGGTGGAAAAGTACCAGCAGCAGATCGACAGGTGGGCCGAGGGGTCGGCTGTTAGGGAGTGTGAGCGGGAACCTTTAGTTGCAGCTACATGTAGTGTCAATGGCTGACTAATTCGTCCATGATCATGCTTCACGCTTTTGTCGTATTTTTCACCCTAGTGCGAACCGTTTGTCATATTTGCTCGGTCAGCCCAGTCCCTGACCCGCTCTGTCCGCCCTCAGCGCTGTGGAGGCCGCCCGCGCGGCCGCCGGGCCGGACGCGCCGGTGCCGACCCGTGCCGAGCTGCAGCGGCAGCTGGCCGAGTGTGAGGCGGCGCTGGGCCGCACGGCCCGCCGGCTGGCCAGGGACGCCGCCTGCCGGCGCCGGTGCCGCCAGCTGCTGGCTCACTGTCAGGCGGTCTGCAGCACCATGACACTGCCGGCTGACCAGGTACCCCCACACGAGTTCCGCTGTCCGGACCCGCGGCTGGCGGCGGAGGCGCGCCGGCTGCACCGGATAGCCATGGCGCGCGCCGCGGCTCCCTGGTGGGAACGGCTGGACGAGGAGCCGGACGGATATGGAGGACTGGGTCCGGAGGAGCGGCACGGAGGGATGGCTCGTGAACACGGCTACGGAGGGGTGAGGAACGATGCTTTATACGGAGGAATTGACCTAAAGGATTTGTACGGGGCGGGCAAAGGTGATTTGTTCGCGGGAGTGAGTCGTTGAGATTGGTATCTATGCAGATATGGATCGTAGGGGTGGTGATGAAGAAATGTGTCGTGAGAATGGTAACGGGTACAAATGGCCGTCATCATGCGTTTGTACTACGGATAAACGAGAGGGATCTAACTAGGCCGGGATTGAGTCCTTTGGAGGGACATGAAATGGGCAGCTCCGTCGACCATCCGCCGACCTTGTGAAGAGAAACCTGCCATTTAGCTGCGGGAGAGAGTCTGGTGAGCGGTCAATCCAATCCGCACTCAATCCGTTGTTTTTAGTGTCCAAGTTCTACATCTCAGGCTCGAGCCCACACGTCCTTTGTCAAAACTGGTTTGTATGGGATGTGTTCTAGTCACTGTATCACTGTCTCTGCCAGTCATTTTTTGGTAAATACAAAATGGAATAAACAATATATTGCAGAATTTGAGTTGCATCGCCGAGATGTTCGTTCAAACATTGCCAGAATCCGGGTATTTTATATGCTTGCTAAGCTGAAGCTATGTTAATTAACCACACCGCACACTAGAAGCCGGAGACTAGACGCTATTCCAAACGACTAAATAAAGTTTACAGCATTCAATAAAACTTCATATAGAAGATACCTATCGTTTCCCTGCAACAAAACCCACGGAATGCGCGACAATTATATGCATTATGCTGTGTAAAGTTCCGCTAAATACAACGCAGAACTCCTATCACAATAAGCATTGCAGTCGGACGCGGAATTGACAGAACACCGATTGCCGAGAGCTACTGACTGAATGCTACTACTGCTACCCACCGCGATACATGCTAAACGCTAAGGAAAGAGAAGGTTCAGATCTTTGCCATCACCAGAGTGGTTAGTATAGAGACTCGCTGGTAAGTCGGGGCCAGGGGCCGCCACATTGAACGGCAGCACAGCGTGTCCGAGCGAACAACACCGAACGCTCCCAGTGAGGACTGTCCTCTGAGGAACAACAGGACAGAACAGCCCTGCAGTTATTACCCAGAGGACGGTCAGACTCGGGGAGGACACCTAACACAGAGGACAACACGAATTGACGGGAGGACTGGGTGCCACACGGGGCACCCAGTCCTCGCACAGACAACACACAACACTGAGGATATATGATAGGTTGTCCGGAAAAGCAGGGCTCTCCAGACTGCCTGACTCGCCGCGTTGTTCTAGATGTTGATACGGCTGACGGTCGCCAGGGGGCCAGTTTCGGAGACGTGGGTCTCGAACATCCCTCGTTGGAGAGGACGCCGGAGTCGCAGTACTCGGAGAGGGGTGTCTAATCCTCGCTGTCCGCCTCCCGCAGAATGATCTCAAAGCTGAACGGAGCGAAGATGTAGCCCTCGCCCTTGTAGAACTTGGACTGGAACTCGACCCTGTGACCAGACATGGAAAGATCGTGTTCACCGTTCAATGCTGATATTTCATACCGTTCGGTGAGGCCAGACAATCATGAGACGGCCGACCTGCAATCCATGGGGTTGTGAAGTTTCGCAAGTACTGAGAAATGAAGAATCAGCCTAAAGAAGTGTACAGAGGTAGAATGGAGATATTCGTCAGTCGACATACAGTGGGTGCGCGGAGGACTTCAAAGAAGGGACAAAAGGTATGCCGATTGCAGATGGACACCAGTGTGCAGGCACACTCACCAGTGGAGGCGCAGCGTATGCAGGAAGGCCGACAGGCCCTCCATGACGATCAGGATGCTGACGGTGAGGCCGGCCCAAGCGCCGAAGATGACGTACAGGACGATACCGCCCCAGAACTCGCGCGTCATGCTCAGGCCGCGCACCAGCACCATGGTCCAGAGCACCTCAGAGAGCTCTGCCGGCGGCGGGTGGACAGACAGACGTAAGAGGGTGCGCCGGCGCCACGGCAGCGGGACGGCGGACCGAGCGCAGCCGCGTCAGCAAGACGGGGGAGTGGCTACAGCCGCGGGTTCGACAAATCGCAACGTAGCCTCATGAAATGTGACGATTAATTTTAAAACCGATGACATGCTTCAACTTAGTTTAATGCAACCGTTACAGTAACCGCAGGTTGGTTTGAAATAGACAAACACTATTCGTTAGTAAATGATAGGTGATATTGAAGACTAGGTGAATGAGAGCGCATGATAAGAAATACATACCAATCGGCAATGCAATTTCGTTTCATTCAGAAATCATCTGATCAAGTTCATTACCGGTCTGATTACAGCTGTACATATGAAAATATCCTTCCCCCATTGCTGATCACGCTGCCTTCCCCGCCAGGTGGCCCACGCATCCCAGCTGCGCCGCGGCAGCGTCTACTCACGGGAGTGGGCGAGCGAGAGCGCCCAGAGCCGGAGGTAGGAGGCCGTGTGCGAGACGGATCCGAGCACATACTCGACGGTGTGGATGGCCTGGTGGATGCAGACCTCGCTGAACTCTTCCTCGTCGTGCCCGCCGCCGCCGCCGCCGGCCGGCGCCGCCACATCGCCGTTGGCCTCTGGCAGTTCGCTGTGAGGCTGCTGGCGGCGCTGGCGCCAGATCAGGATCGGCTTGGCCAGCAGCATCCACGGGATGCACATGACGCCGACAAACAGCAGGAACGACTGGAAGCCCTTCTGGCCGTCAAAGAGGTAGCCGTCGCAGTACTTCTCGCCGGGCCCGGTGCCCTTCGGGTCGGCGTTCATGTCCTTCAGCAGGAACATGTTGATGAAGATGAGCAGCAGCGAGGGCGCGCAGTGCGTGCCGTAGCGGATCGCCTCGGCGTCCTCCGGGCCCGAGCCCACCTCGAACGGCGCGCTGTACATGGTCCACTTGAGCAGGCACAGCATGCAGAGCCAGCCGAACAGACAGAGCAGGAACAGCACCTGCGGCAGGAACATGGTCACCAGGTCCGAGAACTGCTTGAAGTTCCTGCCGGCAGAAAGAGGGGAAAAGAGGGACGGTCAGATGATTGTGCGCAGAAACAATGCACGCCGTCAGTTATATGATGATTGAATGGCATTGGTAATGTAGAAAAACGAGCCACACACGTCTTTAAAACCTAAAGAAGACTTGAAACTAGTGTAGGTATGTAACATCTTCAACCATCTATTACCACAACTGGGCAGCAATCAGTGAAGAAAGTCATATCCCGACAATTTTAACCTGACCGAGAGCAACGAAACGTCAACAATAAACGCGAACAGAAACTATCCGCATTCAAAAGTCACATACAGTTACACGGCTTGTCAGCATTTGAACTAAGCAGGTGCAGATGACGTGCGGTCTCCACCCACCGGTAGTTGAAGACGGACAGGAGGACGCCGAAGAGCATCTGCAGCACGCCCAGCAGCACGGAGATCTTCATCTTGAAGGCGTTCTGGAAGGTGACGCGGTTGGAGGAGATCTGCCAGATGGGGTCGAAGCCGAAGGGGTAGGGCGTACCGTAGAAGCAGGTGCGGTTCTCCGGCGGCAGCAGCAGCGTCTCGGCGTCGTGGTGGTGCACCTCCTCGTCGGTGAAACAGTTGCGCCACGAGGAGCCGAGCACGTTCACAGACTTGGAGAAGATGTCGTTGTAGATGAAGCCCGTGTAGATGGAGAACAGGCCCATCAGCAGGATGATGTAACGGCCGCCGAAGAAGATGGAAGCGATCTGTACGACAAACAATCGTCATTATGTACACAATGGATGCCAACGCTTGCGACACGCGCCGTGCCCTCAATCTAGGACATGAAGCGAGACCATGTGAACGACAACATAAGGAAAACTTAACATATTTTCACACTGCAAGTTAGATGTCTGTCTTCTAAACTACCAGCGGTGTGTGATTTTCAGAAACAGCCTAATCGAAAATCATCATTTCATGGGCGCGAATATTAACCCTCTTATGAGCGCTAGAGTAAACGCACGAAATTGTGCATTTAAGACAAAGTCGGGGGTTGACAAGGAATCACTGTCGTAATACGAGAAACGAGATGTCTTCTAAATCGCAAAAGTCAGGAATCGTATTCACGGATCCAAATTGAAAGCTGGTGCAATCTTATATATGCACCAGCTGACAAAAAAAAAAAAAAACAAGCCTCAGTGAGCCCTGTAGTTGGCGCACCTCGTTGTCGATTTTCTTGGCACCGAGCGGCTTCTCCTTCCAGACCATCCAGGCGGCCATCAGGGCCATCAGCGCGCCGTGGCCGAAGTCGCCGAACATGACAGCGAACAGGAACGGGAACGTGATGATGGTGTACGGCGCTGCGGGACGGCGCGTTAGGTAAGTAACGTGAAATACGGCAGCCGGGTGACGAAGGGATGACGATTGGTTAGCGCATCGTCTAAAACAACGTGGCTCGGTGAAATAAAAGCGTTAGTTCATTTGGAATATAAATTTGGAATAGTCCAATTAACCCAAAGTTATGTTCTTGTTCATAATATCAAGCTACTACAGATATTAATTCCTGAAGAAGTTCTTGATCGCATTTCCGAATGAGCGGGTGATTCATCCTACAAACAAACCGGCATCTACCGAGGTAAACCCGGTACCCGGCCTGACCACCAGCCACCGGGGAGCATCTAACACCAGCTGACCCCTGACTATCACCCGCCGGCGTTCATCCCGGCTCCCACCGGGACTCATACCAGCACCCACCGAGGTTCCCGCCCCTTCCCTCTGACAGAAACCAACCATAGTTTATTCCTCTGACCGTCACCCACCGGGGTTCATCTCGCGGTACGAGGCCACGCCGTAGGCGTCCACCAGCTCCTGGAAGCCCTGAGTGAACTTGTTGGTGCGGTTGTAGGTGGGCGGCGCCTCGCGCGTCTGGATGCTGTTGAGCACGGGGCTGACTGAGGAGCCAGATCGCTCCGAGCCGCGCCGCAGCGCCAGCTGAATGGCCTCCGTGTCGGCCGACGGCACCCAGCACTCAGCGATCAGACACTTCTGCGTCACGTCCAGGTTGAACCAGTTAAGTGTGTGGTAGATGGCCTTGATCTTGCGCACCTTGACGAACCAGGTGCGGATGTTCTTGGCGGCGGCCACTAGCACGCGGTGACGGTGGTCCTGCGTCTGCGCCAGCACCTGTAGGGTGACACAGCCGGTTAGCACACGGTGGCACATCAGCTGGTCAGCACACGGTAACTCAGCTGGCTAGCACACGGTGGCACAGCTGGTTAGCATACGGTGGCACAGCTGGTTAGCACACAGTGGCACAGCAGCTGGTCAGCACACGGTAACTCAGCTGGCTAGCACACGGTGGCACAGCTGGTTAGCACACAGTGGCACAGCAGCTGGTCAGCACACGGTGACACAGCAGATGGTTAGCACACGGTGGCACAGTTGGCTAGCACACGGTGGCACGGCTGGTCAGCACACGGTGGCACTTGTGTCTAGCACCATATCTTGTCCTTGTTTGTTTGTTTGTTGGGGGTTGGGGGCGCGCCGACTACGAGGTCATTTTGCGCCCATAACATATATTTGAATTACGTCTTTAATTACTTACTTATTTACGTGTTATGCTTAGGAAAGGAAAGTAACGGGGAAATTGGCTGCACGGATAAAGGAAAATATGCTACCGTTATGGATCCAGCGCGAGTTATCTGAGAGAAGATCTAAGAGAGTCACTGTGGGCGCAAGATGCCCGAGGTGGTGTGACCGCATCCCGGCCCCATATCTTGTCCAAGAAAATCTTAGTGTATTTGCGATTAATGCGTTAAGCTGATGTAAGTAAGCCACAAATGGCTGCCAAGAATCCCTCCATCCTTCCGTTCTGGGAGAAATACGCACCCACACAAAAGCTATTGGACGGCTAAATCCCCGGGAATATCTCACCCGAGAACACATTCCCGTCTGCCAATACTGCGAGTGCCTGATATACACGTCCCGCAGAGGCGCGGGTCACGCACACTGCGGTCCCCTGACGCACACCATGAGGCGGTAATTGTGTACTGGGGCGGAAATGAGCTCCGCGGGGCGCACGCCTACACTCTACAGTCTACAGGGACCAACAGCATCGCCAGCCGGGTAATGTGAGCACAACAAATCTGGCAAGCCATTATTTGCAATTACTGTAGTTATTTTCATTTCATAATTTGTAGTTGTTTATCGGCGACGGTCATGGCCCTGGGACGAGAGAAGCTACCCTAATGCTCCGCCGACCGGTGGTGAAAAGAGGCGGTGCGAGCCGCCTCGACATGAACTGTTTGCTCACAGAGGGCAAAGTCTAGTTAAATTATGGACCCACTGGTCATCTGCGGCCACGACTGCGGTCGGCGGCTGTGGTCGCGGACTCGCGACGCAGATATAGCACGTCGGTGAGAGGGGACAATCGTATTCAGCTAGGCAGACTCCAGACTTGTGCCGGGATCAAAAATCAAGATCCAGGATCCTCAAGGTCCCACGGCAAATTCAATTTTTAGAATCCAAGGTTTCCAAGGTCCAACGGCAAATTCAATTCCTAGAATCCAAGGTTTCCAAGGTCCTACGGCAAATTCAATTTCTAGAATCAAGGTTTCCAAGGTCCCACGGCAAATTCAATTTCTAGAATCCAAGGTTTCCAAGGTCCCACGGCAAATTCAATTTCTAGAATCCAAGGTTTCCAAGGTCCCATAGCAAGTATACTTTGCAGGGTCCACAGTCCCCAAGGTCCCACGACAAGAATGCATTGCAGGATCCACAGTCCCCAAGGTCCCACGACAAGAATGCATTGCAGGATCCACAGTCCCTAGGGTCCCACGACAAGTGTGAATTTCAGGATCCACAGTCCCCAAGGTCCCATGACAAGTACACACTTCGGAGTTCAGGGTCCACAGTCCTCAAGGTCCCACGGCAAAAATACATCTCAGGATCCAAAGTATTCATGGTCCCACAACAAGAACTTAAACAAACTAACATTCTGATGAGCAGACTTACTTCTAAATATTCTGCCAACGGATGCCCAGAAACATTGAAAGGGGCAGAACCTATGCAAACCTGTGGACTGTGGTGGTTTTATCGTTAACCAACATAGGTAGGGGGAGCTTCAACACAAGTTAAAAATGAATCATAATATCAATATCTCCTTCTTTAACCTGACAAATTCATAAAAATATAGGTAGGTAATAGGTACCTTGCAATTTGTATTGTCATGTCCCTTTCAATTCAATCTTACCTTATCAGTAGGCATGTAGGACAGCACCTTACAGCTATTGAAGACAGACATTCAAGTATTCTTTCAGGCAATATAAAAAAAAAAACAGAAATAAAACCTACAGGCTTCATAGAAATGGAAAAGTTGAATTGGATAGGTATATGCTTTCGATTTTCTGCACATTCAGTTACATAATACCTAGGATAAAAAGTAAAATATGTTCTAAGTCTTGTTTGCGCGAGCGCTCACAGAAAAACTGATCGACTAAGCCAATAGAATTCGAGTATCAGCGAGCGCAAACCTTACTTACTGTTCATTCACATTAGATTGAAGGCTCTGAACAAAATTCCATATGACAATTTTTTCGTCAGCCGGTTATTCGTCGGCAGATTTTCGTCTGACTTTTTCGTCTTGCATTTTTTCGTCTGTTCGAATTAATTTGGTGCATTTTTCGTCTGAGTATATTTCTGTCCGGCATTTTTTCGTCTGGATGAGGCGGAAAATGTCCTTATGAAAATAATGCGCGGACTTAAAAATGCACAGACGAACAAATGCATAGACGAAAGTCTGCGGACGAAAATCTGCAGACGAAAAATTGTCCGACGAAAACCTGCTAAACGAAAAAGTTGAACTGTCATGGAATCATTGCTTATATTGCTCATTTATTTATTTATTTATTTATTTATTAAACATCATCAGATCGATCCACTATAAGGCAGGGCTTTTCTCCGATCATCGTCATAACAGTACGAAACACATGAAGATGACAAGTAAACTAAGATCACAGTAGCGCGATACAATGACAATGACAGTAGGTAAATATCCTACCCGACGGTACCACTCAGTCGCAGCACGTTCCTGATCTTGGACTTGAACACTGACTTACTAAGGCCAGCAAAGCCATTGTTCAACGCTGTTCGGTTGTACAGGGACGCAGCACGGTACGTAAATCGACGCTTGCCATGGTTGTTTCTTACACGTGACAGAGCTAATAGGTGTGATTGTCTAGTATCCCGACATACGTGTTCGTGGTTGTAAGAGAGATAAGAGCGTAAAAGATGAGGCTTTCCAGATGTAAGAATGCTATGGATCAATGACAGGTCGGCATGTGCTATAAAATCAGCAGCAGGCAGCCACGCAAGTTCCTCGAGCACATCAGAGATGTGCTCGAATTTCCGTCTCCCGGAAATAACTCGGGCTGAAAAGTTGAAGACCTTCTGCAGCCTGGCTATGGCCGTGCGATTGGCGCTACCGAAGACGGGCGCACAGTAACGTATGTGTGAGAAAACGAGAGAATCGACAAGGCGAGGTAAAACAGAGTGTGGAATGATATGTCTGATGTGCATGAGACCGATAAGAATGCCGAAACAGCGGTTGATGATGGTGTTGATATGTGATTCCCAAGAAAGTTCAGAGTCCATGACAACTCCTAAGTTCTTCACTGTGCTTGACAGAGGAAGTGTTTGACCCATAAACTCGATCTGAGGTGGTTCTCCGATCTGAGACAGCTGGCGACGATCGCCACACATGAGCAGCTCCGTCTTGCTGGCGTTCACCATCATGCCGTGCTGGGAAAACCATGTACACAGCACGTCTAACAAGCTCTCCAGAGACAGCTTCAGATCGGGTAGTCTGCTGCGAGGACCCGTGATGGCCACCTGGGTGTCGTCAGCATAACGAACTGAGAAGGTGTGGAAGTCGTTGATGGTGGATGGTATGTAGCAGCTGATGTTGTTGCTGACGATGTTGAATAACAGGGGCCCAAGGCAGGAGCCCTGGAATGTGCCGATGTCAATGGGTAGGGGGTCCGAGAAAGTGTCTCCCAGCCGTACGCGCTGTGTGTGGCCTGACAGATAACTCCTGATCCATCCGGTTGAAATCTGGAGCTGTTCTAGGCTAGTCAGCAGTGTATCGTGGTCTACGACATCAAAACAACGGCTGAGGTCGATTAGTGCGAGAAGAGTTACCTGGGACTGGTCCATGCCGTCCAGGATTTGGTCAGTCATGGATAAAAGAGCTGTGGTTGTGGAATGATCTGACATAAAACCATGCTGTTCCGGACTAAAAAGGCAGTGATGTTCAAGGTAAGTACTGATCTGATGATGAACTAACTTCTCGATGAGTTTGCACACAGTTGGCACATTGGTGATAGGTCGAAAGTTCGATGTCAGTGACGGGTCTCCTCTCTTATGGAGAGGGATAACAACCGCTCGCTTCCAGCTAGCGGGAACGTGCTCTGTGACTAGACTAGTATTGATGATTCGTAGTAAATGGCGACCGATGTGGTTAAAACACATCTTTAAAATCCTAACTGGTATGTCACCCGGCACGCATGTGTCCCTATCCGGCATACTAAGGATCACTCTGTGGAGCTGGTCAAGCGTGACTGGTATGATGTGTAGAGCCCCTGTATGGATGCGAGGGAGCCTAACATCCAGCGGCTGGCGACCAGAACGTTCAAACTCTGTCACCACTGCGTCACGAGTAGACCTGCCTATAGAACAGAAGTAGTTGTTAAGCTCTGAGGCAGTTAAGCTGACAGGAGATACTGAGGGACCGCGCTTAGGTGCAATAACTGACTTCAGTTGCCTAAATAGACCAGAGGCAGGGCTATTACGAACACGTTCTGCGATGTCATCTCTCCTATCCTTACGAATTGCTCGCTTCGTCAACACATTCAGCCTCTGATATGCGTCAGTGTCACGATTGAGAAGGGCCTCTCTGCGCTGAGCCATAAGCTCCTGCGTATCCTGGCTGACAGGTGGAGGCACGGGGTTGTGAACCTTAAACTTACGCATTGGAACGTGTTTGTTCAACAACTGGCCCACGGCCCCCTCAAATGCATCCCACTGTAAATCGCAGGAAGCATCTCTAGGGACGGTTGCGTGCCAGTCAACATGTTCGACATCAGTGAGAAATGCCTCCCTGTCAAATGACCTCCAGTCGCGCCCTGTCCGGTACACCGGCATACGTTTTGCACGCGGTACAAACAGGCAGGTAACAACACGGCGGTGGTGGCTAACAAAGTGACAACTCTCGACAGTGCACTGTGGTGGGACGCTGGCCTCGCACAACTCTCGTGACAGCAGCATCACGTCCTGCATCATTGCTCCTGCATCATGCATCACAGCAGCATCATTGCTCAATGGTGATTTGATCTATAGATGGCCTTGGATTTGATGAATTGCAAAACAAATAAGTTTGACACTTACTTGGTCAGTGGGTAGCTTCCAAGTAGCTTCAAGCCCGGCATATCACAACCCAGAAAATATGTGAGGTGAGATTAGAAAAGAACTTTCCAAACCACCACTGTCCACTGTTTGACAGTTTCATAATCCATGTTCATTGATAATGTAAAAAGCTACCAGGTCTCTTGTTCCAGTTCTGCCTCACAGCCATGGCAACGATTTTGCTCTATAGGTATATGTCTACACAGTCTGGTTCGTTTTCTCTTCATGTATCTATCTAGCCCCTTGCAGCTGGTCGCTCAACCATAGATATTTATTGAAGTGCTTACAGACAAAACCTAGTGCAGGGTCCTTAGTGGCCCATGTGCAACATAAACCTCATGGTCCAGCTTCCAGGATTCTTGAGGTCCCTCAACAAAATGATGGTGTAGGTCCAGACCGTTCTCCTAAGATCCCATGACAAATAATAAAACTGGTACTGAAGGTCTGCATTCTGCAGGGTCTTGCAGCATACCAAAATTTTGAGGTCCTAACCCCTGGGTTTCCATGGTTTTAGGGCATATGAAATGTTGAGGTCCTGGGTTTCTAAGGTCTCATGTCACATGAAATGTTGATGTCCTGGGATTCCAAGGTCTCACGGCATATGCAAATGTTGAGGTCCTGGGATTCCAAGGTCTCGCGACATATGCAAATGTTGAGGTCCTGGGATTCCAAGGTCTCGCGGCATATGGATGTTTTAAGGTCCTGGGATTCCAAGGTCTCGCGGCATATGGATGTTTTAAGGTCCTGGGTTTCCAAGGTCTCGCGACAAAAATGACAATGCAAGGTCCAGGATCCATCAAGGTCCCAGACCTTGGACTCTGCGAACCCTGGATCTCGGATCTTTTTGGGACCTTGGCACAAGTCTGGCAGACTCGATACACCCTCGAATTTAATCTCTGCCGCAAATCCAGAAATTTCCGATTGGGTGGTTTAGTTTAAAACAAACATTAAAATTTGCTCTTGACATTGGCTCAAACGTTTGTACAAGACTAATGGAAACATTCAGACAGACCTATAAAGTTTCGGCTGCAGCCTGTATTCGTTCTCGCGAAGATGAGATTGTTTTAGCGCACTATCTGCAACGCAGTCGCATTTCATCGCCAATAGCGACAGGGATACTGGGTTAATGCACCTATAATTGCCGACAAATACTTGTCACATAAACTTGCGTTAAATCCAAGTCTCACTCAATTGTTCAATCTATCAATACGTTCTCCAATTAACCAGCGCCATCCCTGACCCGCATCAATAGGCAGTTTCTGTTTCGTCGTGTTCATCTCCGGCAGTTTCGCACTTCAACAGCGTCCGACTGCGATCTACAGTTGCCAGCTGACAACACCTCAGCAGTGGTCTGATGTCTGGTAGCCTGGGGAGGGGATTTCACTTCTATCCAAAAATAACAGACCTGTACACTCCCAGGCTGCCTAATATATAGGGAGGCACCGAGTAGGATTACAAGAATGCATTGCATAGCAACTGGAAATTTTATCACTAAGGTTAGTGTTTGAGAAGAAATCCAACCAGCGAAGAGGACTTCTTTTTGTAAGGCGATCACACAGGCAAATAACTCACGCCTCGATACCAATTTCAATTTCTCCACAACATTCTACAAATGTCACAAATATATCAAGCAGAGCAGCTGAGCCAAAACAGGTAGGAAGCACAATGAAGCTAAAAACCGGCCAGTTCAAATAATCTAAAAAGTCGCGTAAAATATAGCTACGGCGGCATATTTGGGAGAAGATATCATCATCATCCTATCAGTCCCCTCCCAGTCCCCCCCCCCCCCGCACAGATCGCCCCGAGTCGGGCCGGGGCAAGGAGGGCTGCTCGGACCAAGTCCCCTGGAGGCCGGCGCTCTGCGGGCGGCACTGACCGTGTTAAGGTCCTCAATGCGCGTCATGACGCCCATTTTCATCTCGCGCCGCTCGGGCGGCGTCTCCGGACACGGGTAGAGCGTGGCGCGGAAGCCCTCGCAGATCTTCTTGACGCGCGTCTTCAGCTGCTCTCCTTGGAAGAAGATGATGAAAACGGACTTGTAGACCTGGTCTCCCTGAGAATGGCGGGCCGGCCGGCCGGCAGGCGTCAGCAGATACGAGCGGATGGTACGGTAGGATCGATAGCGAGCCGAGTGAAAAACGACAAAATATGACTTGCTTTTTTCGCAACAGTGTATAAATAAGCTTTCATTGTATGCCGTAACATACCTAAGCAATGTAAGCTAATTAGGACGAGTTCCAGGCAAAGTACTGCTTCTGGTAAGTGATAAAAATGAAATAAAACTGTTGCGAAAAAAAAAAACGAAATAAAGAGGCAGATGGCTAAATCCTGGGAATAGTATCAAGACAACGTAGTTCTATTTCGCCGTAATTATCGGCATCGATTAGCGATTTCCTAGCATGACGGCGATACTTCGTGCAAAAAAGAAACGAGTGCATGCTACCGTTCCTCCTCATGTAACATTGTGCGAGAGCCGCAAGCACTGATGCCTGCTCGCGTGGTTCATTAAGTTGAGATGCCGCACCAGGTCTGAAAGTGGTTCCACGCGCACACCTTGTTAAATGAGCCAGCAATGCAAAATTCCGAGTGCAGCTAAAAAAAATCAATTTGATTTCAATGGCCAAACTTTTGATTAGATATTTCTGCTAGAATAGCAAACCTCATCAGCCGAAATTGTATGAAGTACCTAAGCAAAGATATTCCGCCAAACGTCACATTGGTTAATATGTTTACGCTGTAGTCAGCATCCTCAGATGAAACGCTAATCGAGTAAAACTGTCTAAGACACAAAAACTAAAATCTATTCCCAAAGCTTTTGATCACCTGGACTAAGAAGCTGGCTGACACTTTACGCGTAGCATTTACCTGTGTACGTCTCTTTTTAAGTACAGCTTGAAAAGGGGATTGTCATCCAAAGCATTCGGTTGTTCCAACACCGCCGCTTTTCAGGGAGTATCTATCGTTACAGGACATGCCTGTGGCAGTGATGGCCTGATCTGGATCAGCCCATCACTCCCAGTCCGTCTACAAACAGACAGCTCCGTCCATATGTGCAAAGGCGCACATATGACAGACGCCGCTCAGCAGACGTCCATTGAGGCGGCGACGGCGCATTGTCTGGGCAGGGAGAGATTAACTACATAGGTATTTACGCAACATGTGCCCGCAACGTGAGCACTACCGTTCAGCGAATGTCGGCGCAGCCGCAGACATTCATATAATTAGGTCCTCAACCTGCAGCGGCTATATAGCCACCACATGTAATCTGCAGACTGGGTAGTCAATGACAACCCGGCAAACGGTTCTCACGAATCAGAGCGCGGGACATGTTCTAAGACTGATGGGATCAGCGCACACAACGCCACACTGATAATGCGATAAGCTATCATATCTGTCGTCTGTCGCCCGGCTATCTGGCCACGTGGAACGTGGGCGAGGAGATGCAAACGTTCGCAGTTGTCCTACTCCTTTACCTAGCCAAACACCACATGGCAGCTTTTAAAGCAGAAAAACGAGTGAGAGAGATAGAGATAGAGATAGAGATAGAGATAGAGATAGAGAGAGAGAGAGAGAGAGAGAGAGAGAGAGAGAGAGAGAGAGAGAGAGAGGGGGGAGAAGAGAGAGACCTCACCGAGACGGGATCCTCGAGGGCCGACTCGATCTGTGCCTGACGGACGAACACGTTGCCGCGGCAGGCACGCCACAGCATGCGCTCGAAGCCGGGCATCCGTTCCCGCTGGATGACGCCGGCCACAAAGCTGAGGGCGCCGCGCGGGGTGCGTCAGACGGGCTGAGCGGGGGGGGGGGGGGGTCAGCGTGAGTCAGACAGGCACATGACCTGACCAGGGTCCCAGAAATCACATTACGGTAATCGGGGGTCATTGCACTCCGGAGGTAGACAAATGAGCGATGATGATTGAGCCGCTTTTTACAATCGCTATGGATAGCAGATTGGCAAACGCAGACGTCTAGCTGGGAGAACAGGCCGGGCTGCAGATGTAAATGGACAATTCATAGTGCATTACCTTGTCTACGTACGCATCATGGGGTGATTGTCATGACTGCGATATCTGCAGACGATCTCGTTATAGAACTCAAAGTTGGATAATTAAATAGCGCCAGGACTGAGATGACGCACACACTGGATAATCAGGATTGTTGCATAAAGGTGCACGCTGCTCCGTCAGCAATGGAGTGGGAAGTATGAAACAAGACAAAAGTGACGCAGCGACTGATTCAGATTTAGAGGGTTTAAATCCAACCAGCGACCTGTGAGGGAAAGTGACAGGTAAATATCTTTAGCATAAAAGTTGAACCTTGGTTTCGTTCGTTCACAGCAAAATATGCTCTTTTTCTTTTTCCTTGAGAATTCAGGCAGCTTTGAGGTCTATGATGACCCAACAAGACCCGAATACAGTTCAGGCGTCAAAACGTTATGGAAAATCAAGAAGAGCAAACAGGCGATCGGCCACAGATGATCCAACCAACAGTATGATCCAAGTCCAACTATGATCTTCAGGTGATATTCTCGGTATGTGATACTGTGCCATATTGATCATATATCGATAAAACAGAGGCAATGCAAGCCATTCCGACGGAGCGTCCTGTCTACACATAACACAATGCCATCGCAGCGACTGCAGACACGGAGATAGTAGCAACAATCGGACCAGTCTATGTTTGAACGGAACAGTCGAGCCGCCCATGGACTCCGACCGGTGTGTATGATAGGGGTGACAGTATACCTTCCGCCACATGGCCTCTCACCGAAGAGGCAGCGGTAACTCCTGGGCTGCGTGATGACACGGTAAGACACATGATTGGCACACCATCGAACACGGCTGCTGGATGCCTACTACAAACTAAGACTTGTCTCTATTGCCGACCGGTAGCGCATTCTTCTATGAAAAACTAGCCCAATAATTTCTACATATAGGCTACATAGCGGTTCGTTCCAGTTTAAGACTGTCTAACGAAGTCGTATAGCTACCATATCATACGTTACTCCTGCTGCCGAGACCAGCAAGTACACAAAACGCAGATGAAGCGGTCAATCAATGGCTGAAAAAAGCCCAACAGAAAGAAAATAAGCTCCATCGCAAAACCAACTCCGCCAGAAAAAGAAAAAGAAACTTCAAATATATGTCGCAGCAAAGAACCGCTGTAGAGTTCTTCAGAGTATGCAGGGGCACATCCACAAGCATGAAATGATATCCCGTGTTGTTCCCTAAATCTATGAAAGAAATGTAATACCTATCTTCAAGAAAACTATAGATAAAAGAAAGGATAATAGACAAAGAATCCGCACACCAAGCAGTAAAGGAAGAGCAAACCTTTCAGCAGACTGAATATCATCGTCACATTGTTGAATGTAAGTGCAAAGGCACTGAACTGTAGCAAATTCTTCAGTATAGCACAATGTCATAAGGTGAATCGCAAGTCGCAACCCCATCCAACGCGTATAGGTATAGGCAGCTCTATTTTCAGCAGAGAACAAACGTCACTTGGAACAATTTATGTCACAATATTTGATAGTATGAAGGCAAACCTAGATTCATCAGTTTACCGCCCCGAGATGAGCTACCGGTCGCTACAACTCAATCTAGTCAGTGATCACCCTTCCCCCTCGCTCCCTCTCCCCCCCCCCGTCCCCTCCGCCGCGTCCGTCCGCTGACCGCTACCCACCTGAGCTGTTTGGCCGTGGATGACTTGCCCACCTCGTCGCTGGTAAGCAGCGCCTGCTGAATGCCGTCGGGCACGTGCTGTGTGCCGTCTCTCTGTGTGGCCCGCCATACGGGGGCGGTCAGGCCGGGCGGGCGGACCGGGCGCCGAGGGCGGAGCCGGGACCAGGACCGGGAGACCGGGACCAGAGTCGGACCGGGACCGCGGGCAGGGACCGAGTGGTGAGTGTGTATTGTGTGTGTGCTCCTAGCAGACCGCCGCCACCACACACCTCTCCCGGGCGGGTCCGTCACCGGTTAGTCACCAGAGGCGCGCTGCCGCCGCGTGCAGCCGTGTCCCTTCACCGAGCGGCGCCTGGCGCTCACCTCACCTGCACCCGCCCACGGAGCCGCCGCCGCCGCGGCGCCAGCAGCAGCACTCACCCGAGCTTCAGCGACTGTCCGGCGGCCTGCATCCCATCCTCGCCTAGCAGCTGAGCGTTCTCGTCGTCCCTGTTGGCTTCTGACATCTGGTGGGTAACATAATGATACTGAGCCTCCTGGGGTGAGAGAGGCGGCGTGTCACACCGTCTGACGGGGGCCCGGCCGCCGGAGCGGGCGCGCCGCTGTCCGCCGCCGGCCCGCCGCCGCCGCGCGCTGTTAGTCACCCCACAGTGATCGGGCGGTTAGGCGGCGTTACGGGCGGCGCTGGCGGGCGGGCCGGCGGGCGGCGCGGCACACCACCGGCGGCCAACTCAACAGGCGGATGCAACTCAACAGTCAACCAAGCGAGACGTGCTAGGCCGGGCGCGCGCGCGCCGGTCCCACATGCAGGCCGTGCCGCTCCCGGCCGGCAGCGCACTGCACTCTGGGCCGCGTGCCAGCTAAACACGGGTTATTGGGCGCGTGTGTGCGGGACATTAGGTCCAGGGAGAGATGCGGGATACAGGCGGCAGCCAGTCAACAAATTCATAACGAAAAAACAACAGGCCCAGCTAAAAATCCTCAACAAAGCAATGTTTGAATAACATAAAGTAAATTAAATCCGTAAAACAATGTTTGGGGTAAAAAGGCCCCCGTCAGTACAACAAATATTTGTTTAACATTGAGCACTGCCATTACTTTGATAATCTCCCAATGCTCTGACAGAAGCACACGCAAATGTAAACCCTCAATGACTTCAAAGCATCTCTGCAATCAAAAGCAACGGCGCAGTCCCCAGCACCCGCACTGAATTACTTACCTCGTCAAAGAACGTTTGAGTCTTCTGCAGGATGTGTTTGAGCTCAGTCAATTCGAGAAAGTTCTTCTTAAGAGTCTCAGCATTGTTGTTCACCTCTTTGAGCTCGTTCTCCAGCTTTTCGAAGGTAGCCTGAAGGAGAACGGTTACGGATAAAGCAATGTCGTATACGACAGCCTCCTCATTTGAACGGAATAGTTGAGCAGTGAGGGTCATGACGACGAATGATGAAATGTTTCGAGCAATGAAACGCCCCCGACTCCATAAACTCAGCTCCTGTGCCACATACTGACAAGCGGTAAGCGACCTTTGCTGAGTCGTCAATCATTTAGAGAGTACATCAGCTATTTCTTTTTTTCAGGTAAATTCAACTGTCAGGTCACTAGAGGTCATCAAGGATAACTTTTCTCGAATATAACCGGAGGTTGGCGCCGCTATAAAAAAAAAAAAATATGAAACCGCTACCGCTACTTCAGCTGCCTTGACTAACGGTAGTCGCTAGGTACCACTACTATGTAATGCTACCTACTTTTTTCAAATTTGCGAAAACACCTCTCCGCTAGGCGCTACCCTCTACCAAAAATCAAGCATCGTAGTTGCTTCTACTTTGCGTGCACCTTATATCGGCCAGTATGGCTTATTGACCACTACATCAGCGAAATGCTCATATAAAACGTACTAAGCTGTAGGTGCAGCCCATTCCCATGCGGAATATGGGAGGCCACGGCACCAAACCGCCGGGCAAGCCAGTAAGAAGCGTCAAAAGCATGACGGAGATGCCGAATATATATTTCACTCAAAATGATTTAATTGGTCACGATCGCCGATCAATATCGGGTTGCCGTGGGCAACAGTGCGTGAATGGCTTTATGTAAATTATATTCCTTTCACATCACAGCGTCTGGCAGCGTCCCTAACATCTACCGTGATGCCTCTGTACAGCTCGCATTGGATGTGTGGTGGTAATCGTTCGGTTTATCTTCCTGACGGTAGTGAAGTCGCGGAGTTAATTTGTTCTAAGTATGCTACCCACTGCTGCTCAGTGTTTTTTTTTTTTTGGGGGGGGGGGTAGGATCCACTATCCGCTACTCCACAACCAAATACGTAGTGCACAAGTAGCGGAGTAGCGGACAAAGCTCATCTCTGTTCTGAGAAGTAGTGAGATAATAGAACTACATGCGATGCAGAAGCACACATTCCATTGTTCTCAAATAGTCCTTTGGCCAATGTATCGTTTCATCTGACCTCGAGTCAACAATTTGGCCTCAAGCTGAAACAAAAACTGTGAGTCGTTTTACGAGAAAGGTACTTTCCGCAAATTCGCACTAGCATTTGACTATTAATGCTTACATGACGTTGTTCTGGCAGGCATCGAGCATTCATCGTCAACAATCGTCGAATGACCTGAAATTTGGCCGCCCAAGACAGAAGTATCGCTCCAGCTTTGAACTTCCTGCCTTGGAGTGGTAAACGCGAGTAACGTTTTACGACAAACAGACATGGGCTATGGGTATAGCATGACATAAAGGCATCGATCGCTGACTCTGGTGCCGGAGTCGGAGTCGGCGAGATTTCGGGGCGAGTCCGACTCTGCAGCCCAACACCTGTCGTTCAGCCGATCCCGAGTCCCGACTGACCTCGAGGTCGATCATCTCGCGGGGCTGCGGCGCCTCGGGGTTCTCGCCAGTGTCCAGCATCGGGATGCCGTCCTTCTTGATCTCCTTCTCCAGGTAGCGCAGTTTGCGCTCCATCTCGTCGCAGCGACGCACCTCGTTTACGAACTTGCGTTGGAATGCGTTCACGTCAGGGTTTAGCTGGAAGCAGGTGATATTTTGTTAACATTAAGACAAGATCGTAAGCAGGTACTTGTGTGACTTGTTCCACTAATGTATCAAACAAAATGTAGGTTTTACATTTTCTAGGGAATATTTTTGGGAAATCCCCATCAGCCTCTTAGAAAGTTTTAGAATATTTTGCCAAAAAAAACCTTTTACTCTCTTTCTTTTTACTTTTTCTAATATTGCTCTGATGCTTATGAGCTGCAGAAGCAAGATGAGTTACAGATATTATTTTTAAAGGAACAGCCACCATAGCACAGCATTACCAAAAACATATATATACAGCTTCATACTCAAAACTTTGAAATGTTTCATACAATTGAAATGCCTAAGTTCTCTAAACAATAGAATGGTAAGACAATTGAGCTATTGTACTAAATGTCCTTATATAATGCTATATGTCCATGAGTAACTAGTACTCACATCTCTAAATTGGACAAGACCCAGTTCGCCTAGCTCTGAGACACAGGCATAGGCCGCCTCTGTCTGCAGGAAGAGCTGACAGAGGCTCATCTCCTCACTCCGGAAGAGCCCCCACTCGGACATGGTGGCTCCCCTGAAACAGTACCGCAGCACAGTAATAGTCTTCAGTAAGACATATAAGACAACACACTTGAACAAGAATGACAAAGACTGCCACTTATGTATCGATGAAAAAACAAAGAACTGTGAGCTCTTACATGGAAATATACCAAAAATCAGCAGACAAAATTATCAAGAACAAACTATCATTTGAGCTCTAAGCCACTTTACAACTTAAGTAAGACTCATTTTCAACTATTATGTACAGAAATACGCTTAAGGTACTTTTGCAGTTCTGATGCACTGTCACAGGCATGCACAAAATCAGCTGAAAGATTATCTGGCAAAAAGAGCATTTCAACAGAAATCCTGTTTGTTCATGATGTGATGCAGTTGCATGAATTTGTGATTGAAGATGACCATGCATTATGTGAATAGTCATTCTGTCCCATTATATGACCCATTGCCGCACTGTCAAAATTGCCCGCACTATTGCTAAAATGTGCCCAGTGTCATCTAAATTGGGCGTAAAAAGGTGTAGTTTTACTAATTTAACAATATCATCAAGTTATTCCCGGAAGATTGAGATCAAGATAAAAAATTATCTATCGCATAAAACATGGTTCAAGTCAAGCTCCCATTAGCCCACCAGTGGGCCTCGCTGGCCCACTCCGAGTTATGTCGTTGACGTTGTGAACTATTCATTTTCTTACCTGTTTTACCTCCTCAAAATTGGTGTATCTCTCTTTATTGAAAAATGAAGTTTCGGCTGAGATATGTTACATTACACAAGATTAAAAAAGAAAATATAGGTCGACCACAGCCTCCCCACCGCGAATCAATCGACGGTATCTTGGCCAAAATCGAGCAAAATCGAGTCTACCCCAATCCACAGTCAGCCACTGATCGATTCGGTCCATAGAAGAACGGGTAAAGAGGGCGCCAGTTGTTTAGTGACTAATCACATGACTTCCAGCTGACAATCTCGTGACATGAATATGACAGTCAAATAAAATATTTTTGTTCAATTCATAGAAGAAATCTTCAATCTAAAGAAATTATAATGGAAATATAGCTTACGCATCCAAAAACAGTATATTCCCCATGAAGTTTCAAGGATCTTAAAGAGACGTGACTACGAAATCAAACCAGTGTTCATCACTTGTGCTGCACAATAACTATTAGCTGTGGAATAAAATATAAGCATATCTTTCAGCAAAATAACATGAAATCCTAGCTATCATTATGAAAACAAAGAAGCTTATGCTGAAGAACATGGAAGGGCTAATCAACACACGGCGAGAATCATTGTGTTGAAAACAGTTTTACCTTTCCTTCAGGCGCTGGTACGAAAATCCTGCCATTTTATTCGGCTGATATGTAGCGCATGCTAGCGCAGGAGCAGCACAACACCATCTACGCTGTGAAGCTCCGACGATGCCTCACATGAATGACAGTAGACTTGGCTTCGAGTGCCCAACGTTTGCTCTGATTTTCTGATTACTCTATCTTATCGCGGCCGCAGCGGCGTAGCCAAGGCGGCCAGGCGGTGTCGAAGGTGGGGAAACGAGCTTTATCAGCCGGCACCCTCACTCACTGATTAGCAGAGGCGGCTAGCACCTACATAGAAGTGCAAGCTAGCTCTAATGTAGCAGAAATATTGCCGCCTTTCGGTAACCTGTGCCGGCGGGCAGTGGACAATGGACATGCTCACTGCTCCCATCACAGCATACCTTTAGGGGAAAGTGGGGCAAGACGGGCACCTTAACTTTGGAGCCATTTTCGGCCGGTTAGAAACATCATAGAAACGGGAAACTGAGTGAAAACCTTTTTTAGACATTTTACTTCCATTTGCCGGAAGATGAGACTTAGACCTGATTCAACAAATACTTAAACTGCAGCTATTTTTGCAAAACCTTGCAAAAACCCGTCTTACCCCACCCCATGGGGTAAGACGGTCACATGGGTAGGGCAAGACGGCCAGCTTCTTTCACCGACCAGCACAGCTCGCAGCAAATGCCCGAGATTAGCCGCATTGATACAGTCGCTCGTTGATCTCAAGTGCTTCGGAAATGGCAGTATAGGTATGAGATTCGTGCAGAAGGCGTATGCTCGTATATAATAGGCCCTAGTTCAGAAGCCATGTAGAGCCGTTTTACACATTCATTATTCGAGAATAAAATGTGCTGAAGGAATAAAGCTAACATGTCTGTGGGTATCGGAATCGAACATATTCTTATTAGAAATGCGTCTTTTTTCCTACAGCAACAAAAATATTTGCACCATTACAGACCCATCGGATTCATAGTAACCCGTCTTACCCCAAACTCAATGTCAGAAGTTCAGGACGATTTTTCTCTGTGGGCAATTTGATGTAGGCAAAGCAAATCCGCGGTGAATGAACACTGGTGGCATATGAATGAACCACAAGTGATTGCCAGTTTTTAACTCAAAGTGCTGCACACAAAAGCTTGCACAATACATTATGAATGTTTTCAATGAAATGAGTGTTTTAAAGAAATCAAAATAAAAGATTATTGATTGAACACAAATTCACCAGACTTCAATAGTGGTGTGTAGTGGGAAAGGCAATTCTGGTCCTAATTTTTATCGCTCGTGCGCTATAGGTTTCGTCTGCTGAAGGGGTGTCCGTCTTACCTACCCTGACCGTCTTACCCCACCTTCCCCTACCTATACCAGTAAAACGCCTTTTGGGCGAAGAAAGAGCGAGCGAGATAGTGAGTCCTGCACGTGCGGACAGCGGAAGGGCGAGGAGGTACTTCCAACGGGCTTGTGCAAAGCACCCTTCTAACCGGTCGCTAGCGGTGTATCAAATTCGAAGGCAGTCGCCTCAGCCGTTCCTAAGATCTGGAAGCGGCATTCTGCACGTGCGCACATGTAAACGGGGTCCAAACTGACTTTTGCACGGCACCCTACTAACTGGTCCGCAGCCGTGTACCAAATTTGAGCGCAATCGGCCCAGCCGTTCTCGAGATCTGGAAACGCCCTCTGCTTGTGCGCACGTGCAAACCGCAACACATGTGAATGCATTGCCTGGTGGGTGTCTACCTGTATGTTGCCTGTATGCCAAGTTTCAGCGAAATCGCCCCAGTAGGTAATAACCGAGTTATTGAAATGGGAACAAATTTGACGCCTCTTCTTTTTGCATTTTGCACGTGCAGTGGGGTTCACTCAAATATGTTTGAGACTTGGGTGAACCCCACTGCACGATATAGATCAAGAGTACCTATCAGACCTTTGATAGAAGGGATGCAGCTGACCCTACACAAATTACCGCAAGACAATCGCCCAAGCGGCTGCTGAGGTATGAGCTTCTCAAAATTACTACTTATGCAAAACAGTTTGAAGACCCTTGACTTTTCACGTGGCACGTGCCACGACGGTCCCAGCATGAAATGTATCAACAGTAGTCAATTACGGGGTAGAAGGAATGGGGCTACCCACCAAAAAAGACCGTAGGCCAATCGGTCCAGCGGTTGCTGAGACATAAGCCTAGGTCAAAAGCGTTACGGGCCGGGCTGGGCCGGGTCGGGTCGGGTCGAGACGGGTCGGGTCACTCATACAGTGATTTTTCTGTTATACCGAAAAGACTTCGCTTCGCTCGCTGCGCTCGCTCGCTCGTAATAAAACAAAATTAATTCTAACGAGTGGTGTTTGTCTATGTGGAGAAGGAAATCATGCCTCCCACTCCCGATGGAGGCCCCAAATGTCGGACCCCTATTTTTGTATCTGTCTGGGTGTCTGGGGCGCATAGCGACACGGGACCGCCGGCTCGCTGGCCGCTGCCCGTCCGGTCACGTGCTTGCGTCCCGACACCCACCATAAAACCATGTTCTTCGGAAATACACTCTCTCACTTCTCCTCTACCGACTGTGACGCCAACACCATCCGCGGACCCCGGCTCCGACGAGGGCGGCCGAAATGGCCGGCCCACATCTATGTATATTTCACTGCAACCTTCGGTTAGAGACGGAGAAGGGTGGTGACGTTCCAATGCCTTTTTCTTACACGGTTCCTGCAGCCCATGGGCGAAAGGGAGGTGCGATTTGCTTATTATCTTCAATATAAGTACCTACCTACGCAGCTCATGGAAATAAACTTAATTTCATTTCATTTTACTCCTTCACCCGTCCACCTGGGTCCACTTTTAGCGGTCCAGTTATTTGCAAGAAGGCCTCTTCCTCCTCCTCTCCATGGGCGGCAGAAGGTGGGGGGCACCGGGGTACCGTGATTCTTGATTCTTGAAAGGGGCACCAATAGCGAAGTGCCCCCTTCTTAAATCTTGTACATATATGATATATACAATAACAGTCAGATGTACGGCCCTCCAGGTATTTAGTGGTTGGTTGCCAACATCACAATAAGCGATCTGCATTGATGAATACGTACCATGACTGCTGAAAACCATTGCCGAAGTGTGTGCACGAACCCTCTTCTCATTTCTATTGAGTCATTTTACAGGAGTGTCTCTGTCATTGAAAGTTATTGCACCAAAAGCACATAGGCTAACCAACTACTCTTTTGCTGGAGGGCCGTACAATATCAGCTCAAGGATGTACGAACAGCCCGGGTCAGAAGGGTCATGGAGCAGGGTCACTAGGTTTAAGTGCCTCCACTTGAAGAAAGAAAGGGCACTCATAATCAGTGCCCCGCCTCTTTTTTGAAGAAAGAAGCGCCCACTTGAAGAAAGAGGGGGTGGGTAGTCATAGTGATTGCATTGCCCTCCCCACTTCCCCATCCTGTATGCAATCGCCTTTGTAATCTCTTAGTTGAAACTGAGATGAAAGCCGAATACTCCGACTGTGAACATTCTACCTTATGGATTCCTACGGGTTACACCAGCGTTGAGTTTCCCCGACATTCTGAGCATATGGCGATAGCTCGTCCTTTGAAGCATAAGCGGGAGAGGGGAGTGGCACCGAGGCACCGTATCCCTTGGTTTATCGAGGAAGGCACCAATAACAAAGTCCCCCCTTGAGTCTCATTAAAAAAAAAACATTCAGATTTTTGTCAAACTTCAAAGGTGTACCTAATGATGTAACCAAACAAACAATCCACAATTTCTTCACGATCACCAACCTTCATTAGGACTAATTTTAGTATCCTTAGATCGTTAACTTGGGTCCTTTCGGTCTACTGAGAGCATTCCAGATCCGCCTTGGACGTGCGGATGGAGACCAGACTTTGAACTTAAAATCGAATTAAAAGCGAAATTAAAGTCTCGCCTATCGGCTTGACGTTTAAAAGATTTGTTTCGCATACTCGCGGATTAATATATACCTAGGTAACAAAATGCATGTTTCGTGGGTACATACTACCTACTGTCACTTGATATATAATGGTATATGTGACAGTTATTTGACGTTGCAGATTATTTACGTCTCTCCTGCTAGATACAGCCTGGATGGATTTCCTCCTCTTCCACTTCCTGGTAGTTTGAAATTTGTTTTGTAAAGGTGCAGAAAATATATTTGACTGTACCATGCACGACTTCAATGTTTTTACATTTCACTTTTTTACATGCATATGTACACTTATACGTTCAAGAGGAACCGGCATGTTCCTTACGAATACATACGAAGCGGAAATGGTGGTCTTTGCTGCTTCCTAAAACAATATGCTTTATTCGAAACATATGTTGTAGATGATAGTATGTAGTCATTGGCTCAATAACAATGTCTCAAGCTAAGAGCATCACAGATCACAGCGAGCATCAACTTCAAGACTTCTACAAATAATACACGAACTCCTGTCCAGTTCGAGCGGTCAGGACAGTCGCGGCAGTTTTCCCAGCGCGGTGTGACGTGGCTGGAACTACGCATTGATCTAAGCAGTGGCCGTGGCTGGCCGGTGTGGGTGGCTCGGAGCACCGAGTTCACTTCCTCCCGCTTGTCCTTCGTATGTAGGACTCGAACTTCTCCGCCTCCTCTGTCCTTAGGAGCGCCTGCAGGCACCCCTGAAAGTACTGAGTGGAGAAACACTCCGACCTGGCGGTGAAAAGGTAAACGGTCAAACGATACACAAAGGCAAGCGATAACAACTGGACGGTTTTTTTCAGTCGCTAAATAATTCGCTTCTATCTGGTAGAGATTCGATTTATCAGCCAGGCTAGATAATCTAAAGTGATACCTACCAGAAATACAAACGCAGGATATCATCCGGGTTTTAGCCACAGCTATTTAAGCCCGTCCCTCAGACCAGCGCAATGCTCTATGGACGAGCGAATGCCGTTCATTCCTCGGGACTTTGGAGCGACTGATTCAGCCGTTTCCGGTGCACGTGCGATGGCCGACGGAGGGGGAGGGGGGGGCTGAGACACGTACCGGCACAGGCCGTACAGCTCGGGCTCCTTGTAGATGGTGAAGCACTCCTGGCAGACGCCGTTCAGCTCGCGGAACACGACGATGTCGAACACCCCGCGGCACCGCAGCTCGGCGAACGAGCGCTTACTCTGCGCCTGGCGCCACTCGCCGGCGTCGGGCACCGTCAGCCCGTGGCCGCCGGTGGCACACAGGGCCAGCAGGTACACCAGTGTACAGCAGAGCAGGGCGGCGCGACCCGCCGGCAGCTGCGGCAGTCTGCGCATACACCGACCGGTCACAGAGGTCAGTGGGGTCAGAGGTCAGCGAGCCGACAGAGATCAGCAGGGTCACAGAGGTCAGTGGGGTCAGAGGTCAGCGAGCCGACAGAGATCAGCAGGGTCACAGAGGTCAGCAGGGTCACAGAGGTCAGTGGGGTCACAGAGGTCAGTGGGGCCACAGAGGTCAGCGAGCTCACAGAGGTCAGTGAATGTCACCGAGGTCCATAAGGCTACCAAGGTCAATAAGGTCACTAAGGTCACTGAACTCAACAAGGTCACCGAGATCACGAGATTGAGGTCACGAGTTAAAGATATTGAGGAAACGCTGAGCACGCGTGTATATAAAAGACAAGTTGGTTAGATTATGAAATACAACTTTATAAGCACTTTGAAGTTGTTAAAAAGACTCCTCAGTCACAAGGGCTAAAAATACCAGGGAGTCACATGTCACGCACAGGTCATGGTATGGTTTTGGATGACCTGGCTTTCATTTCTCGTCAAACATCTCTGGTACCATGCGAAATCTCTCCGTTGCCTAGGGCAGATGTTCGAGATCGCGTTTGTTACGCGCTGGAACAATGAGCGATGAGCCCAAGTCACTAAAAGCAGCGAGCCGAAGAGGCCTCCCATAATTTACGGGAACCGCAAGGAGGAATTTCGCACGCGGTATCTAAATATAGACCGGTGTGGCTTCCATGCACCAATCAGCGCGGGCACAGCGTTACGGTGCGGCACACAGACTGCCGAGCCTACCTTCACGTAAACAGTGAAAGCTGCACTGTCTCTGAGACGTAGCTAGAAATGAAATATGGAAATGAACTTACATGCATCATGGGCCTGGCCAGTGGCCTTCGCAACAAATATAGCGCACATCACCGATAGCTTGTATGACATTTATTACGCCGATTTAGTCAATATCACTTTGATGAATGAATTACGTCTGTTGCCCCATTTTCTATCCGACAATTGTAGCAGAACTGGTAACCGAATGAATCCTGGAGTGATTAAAAGGGAAATAAAAAATTGACAGTGTGATATGCAACGTGAATGGCGAGAAAGGCATGCATTTATTTTTTGATAGATTGAATATTTGTTTCAAATAAATATGATTGAATCACGAAATGAGTACAATTTTCCAGATAAATAGTGCTATAGCAGTAGGTACCTATGGCGGCCATGCAGATGCCAGCTAGGTATTCCAACCGAAGTAGGTGCACGACAAGCATGTAGCATCGTTCTAGTTCTATTCATCCCTTGACCTTTTTAATTAATTCCACTAGCCACTTCTTAGGTTATCGGACATTCATATAAAGATAAAAAACAGATCAGTGCTCGTGCTAGTCGCAGCATTCGCAGACCGCAGTTAAGTCTATTCTTACGTTAGATGTGCGTTATATAATGTACCATGAACCAGTATGAGTCAATCCACATCACCGGAAAATGGAAAACATTACACGACACAAACACGACACAAACAAGTCCCAAGTGCGCGGTGCCACGGCCGGCGGGCCCGCTGCCGCTGCACAGACGGTGCACCGGCTCACCGCCGAGACTCACCCTGTGAGCGACATGTCTGACACGGAGGAGTGGTGAGCGCGTGCGTCAGGAGTGCCACCGGAGCCACTGCGGTACCCACTGCTCCACCCGAGCGCCACTGAGTGCCTCCAGCAGCCGCCGACCGTCTTTATACAGCAGCGCCGGTGGCGCGACGGCGGTACCGCACGCCGCCACAGCGCCAGAAGCGTCGCCAACGCAACGGAACGGTGCATAGCACGGCGCCGCCGCGCTCCCGATCACTTCAGTCCCCGCCTGAGTCATGAGCGCGGCTGGTGGGGACGGAAGTGCGAGGGGCCCCCGAAAGGCCTGCGCTACCAGGGGAACTCAGCGGCTAAACCCGTGGGTCGAGGATGATGACGTTGTGCCTTATCTTGGGCGGCTCTGTTGTGCTCCTTGTTTTGCGTCTTGTTCCGGTCGCATGACGTGGCGATTCAGCCGTGGGAGTGCGATGATACTATAGTTATTTGGCCCGAAGAAGATATGATTCCGATCAAAACACATTTCAAAACACTTGCCATTTAATTTTCAATCATCTAGGCATCGCATTATCATAGGTAGATAAAAATTTACACACCAGCAAACGTATCTGAGTTCCAAAACTGTTAAACACTTCGTGAATCTTCCTGCCGGCTCTCTTTCAGTGGCGATAGGGGAAGCCGGGGAAGCCCGGCTATCCCGTTTCCGGCTAGTTTATTTTTTTATATAAATTTAGTCCGAACCTTTTGATAGGAAGGATTCACAAGGACAGAGCCACCGCTAAGCGAAGCTTGTTGCGTTGACCCTGCCCTCTACCCTCCGATCGCGTAATTCCAGTTCTATGGCAGAATTTATAGTTCAAAGTTTAACGTGCGCACATAGCCGCGCACGGCCGGTCCCCTCACCGACTTCGCCTGGCTACGGCCTGCCACCAACCGTAACCATACCTGTCAGGAGTACCATAAATGTCGAGCGCCCGTCGCGCTTCGAACCCGGACTGTTATAACCGGGAACGCGTGCTCTCACCACGCGGAGTCCGACGCTCTACCAACTGAGCTACGGGACCGGCAAAAAACTTAAAAAAACTTACTTATAACAAAATGCTCAGCCGTGTGTCTTTTCAGCGTGGCAGCTCAGAGAATGTCAGCGCAAAAGCTAGGTCTGACAAAAAGCGAATATTGCTTAAGTTATAGAGCGAAAATAATATTTTAAGCTTTTTTAGCTAAAAACTGCGATATATTGCATTGCTTTGTTGTTTTTGATGTATGGAACATACAGCCTCAATATTTCTACGGTATGGTATGAAAAGATCTTTAAAGTGTTTGTAGTGAGAGATTACACTGAAAACAAGTTGAAAGAACGTTATGCAAAAGCATCTTAAAATATTCCACACTTAGGTTTTTTGGGTATTAGGGTAAACTGGCTTAGAGGCGAAGCAGAACGTCTGGTTCGTGAAGAACACACACAGTGTTTCACATAGACCGAAGACACGTGCTGCTTCTTCGCGTGCAGTCTTAGTAGCCCCAGGGGGCTTCAACTCGACCAACACCGGTTCTTCTTCGTTCTCCCTAGTCACGTGATATTACGTCACACCGAGCGCGCGAAAGATAAACCCTTTGAAGGTTTTGCACGAACTAGCATCGGGTTTAAGAAGAAGGGGTTGTGGTTTAATCAGTGTAATGGCTTTCATCAAGACCACGCCCGCGGTACCACGTTCTAGCGTCCACCGGAAGCGATCGCCATTTTTCGATCGCGTTGGATCACGCTTTGTGCAGTGACGAGCGGCTGGTGCAAGATTGGGTGAATGGCAAGTAATCGAATATTGAAGAACTGAAATAAGGTTAATTTTTGGCTTGTCAAGTGTTGTGTATTATCTATATTACTTGTGATTGACAATAATAAGCAATATCACAACGCTCTTCAAATGCATGGATGAATGCATTGGATGAAGACAATTCATATGCAAGACCAATCAATGCAGTAAGTATTTATGTGTTGTATAAATGCCCCATAGCTTAAATTATGCATGTGGTATTTAGACAAATCTTCCAAATGAAGATAATTCAGGAATAGAATCAGCTTGCCATTTTGGGGTCAATTGATTTAGGTATAAATTTGGCTGGTTTTGATAAACATATGTTCTTGCTGATTAGTGCAATATTTTATCTAGCTGCACTTTATATGTCAAATTGTCAAGTGCATTATTTTATTTTCGGAGTAGGCTCATGGTTTCTGAAGTCAATCTAAGTTTCTTTACTTCCTGTCTGTTGAATAACGCATCCGCCCGACTCTTCATTCCAGGGGACGAGGCCATCTCCGCTATGATTGAGGCCCTGGAGTCTGAGGAGAGCGTCCTGGCGCGCGGAGACGTCGACATCGTCGAAAACGCTGGCTTGAAGCTGGTGGTGGAAGGAGAAACTGTATGTGATTTGGGAGAATGCGATATCGCCACCCGGCTGCTGACATGGGCGATAGCGCTATACATATACTGTGTTTGGGAAAACATCCACTTGCTAAAGCTAAAAATGTGTTCATATTTGGCTCTGGAGTTCTTTGGCTTGGATGTGTAAGGCAAGTGACACGGCCGAATGGAAAGCGTTCCTGCAGGCTGATTGCGGGCTGATCGCATGGGCTGAATGCGGGCTGGTTGCGGGCTGATCGCATGGGCTGGTTGCGGGCTGGTTGTTCCTGACTGGAGACTTGCAGGCTGATTGCTCAGAGTAAAGAAGAAGGTAATACATTTTAAGGTGTATCAAGTACTGTGTTTGCGCAGCAGATGTGACGGCGCAGGTCGATAGCCATGCATGGGAGGTTCAATAGACGAATGAACGGGGATTTTGCGGTATTGCAATAGAACTGAAAGGGTTCTACAACCGATATTCAGAACACAGGGTGGTTTCCCTATAAACCTCAGGGAATTCTTCACAGACCCTTTGGGGTTCTTATCTAGGTGCTAAGAACGCTCTTATTATAAACCCTAAACCTCATAAGAGTCTTTGGAAGAATCGTGTGGATTCTTTTGATGAGAATGCAAAGCCGTCTACGTGAAGAGCCATGGGGGTTCTGAAAAACGGTGGCATAACATTTTACCCCACAGGGGTCTAAATACCACTGTACGTTCTAAACGTTCTTCCAAAGTGTTTTCAGTGTACGAGGCAGGCTGGCTCAAGCATGACATTTTTTTCAAACGTCGCTGTTCTCAAATAAAATTCGCACATTTGCCCTGGGTGAGTGGCCGGACTTACTCCGACCGAGAGCAATACCACTAAACCATTGTTTTCCCTGAAATATTCGGTAATGAGTAGGCACAGAAGGTTTGATTTGATTTAGGTTTGAGTCCGAGATGAATTTTGAAGATAAACAAGTGCTAGCATAGACAAAGCCTCTTCAGCCTGTCGTTCTATACCGCTGTGTACCCATGAGTTATGGATGAAGGGAGATTGTTCGCCTTATGCATTAGTTATTTAGAATATCGCGAGGGGACAAGGGCTACGAGGGCGCCATGTCATTCAAGGAGGGCGCCATATACGGTCACGAGACCAAAAACCCTAAGTGCAGTCATGCTCGAGGGCGCCAATGGGTAGGAGGGCCGAGGGCGGCGACGAACAGGAGTCAGAGGGCGCCGATTAACATGAGGGCGCCAGTGGAATGTAGGGCAGCGATTAACAGGTTTAGATCGGCGACTACCGTGACAATTAGAACGCTTGGGCGCGCTCGAACTGTGTTTGTCCTCTACACACATCCACCGTTGGAGGGCGCCTACGGCGACCAGAGAGAGAGAGAGAGAGAGAGGGGAGCATAGTCCAGTGCCCTCCTTAAATCCGCCATTACTCTCAGTTTTTACGTTTTCGGCGTACAAGCCACAAGGCTACTCCGCGAGTTACTGATGTGGGGGGTGGGGGGGGGACGCCTCGCCGCGCTATCATCATCATCATCATCATCATCATCAATTGTATTACGTCTAGAGACAAGACAAGCATGGGCATAACAAACATACACAATGCACACAAGACATACGCCAGAAAACATATGCACAATCCTACACCAAAACATAGGCATACCAAAAACAACATAACAATATCATATGGGTGGCGCTAATATCATTTGTATTAGTGCCCATGCCTCCCCAGTGCCCATGCCCCCCCCCCCCCTCCTATAGCTAAAGAACTTGGGTAGCTGTAGCAGGTTGATTGCAGTTTATTGTGACAAAACTTATAAATATCAGTTGGAAATTTTTGAGATATCGAGGTTTTAATGACGTCATGATGTCGGCGTTCCCAACCAAAAACGACATAGGTATGTCTAAAAAGCATACGGTTCATTGATAAAAGCCTTGGCACCTGTAGACTTATCATCCTCAGCCTCAGAAATTGCGTGCATCCCAAGTTCCAAAATATTACAGGTGAAACTTCAGCGTCAAGTTTCAATACACATATGTCAATATACGTTCAATTTACGTTCAATATACGTCCACTTTATAGCGTCATCATGATTTCCACTGTCATTCAGTCGACAATCTGTATTAGCCAAAGTGTAGTTATTATTCATATGCACTCTCTTTATGACTTCCTCGAAAATGCATTTTGTATCAGTTCATTAGTATTCATTCCACCTGCCGGTCCGAAGACAACCGTCACGCCAATGAGACGGCTTCTATTTCTGGTACGCGCCGGTTGTGAGTGATTTTTGCACGCTGATGGAAATAGGCTCATCGATTCTGGGCAAACACGGGCTAAAGCACGTCACTTGTGAGTACAAGCCTTGATAGTTTATTCAATGACTTTTCGCCTATCATGACTGGAAGGTAGGTGAGGTATATTGATAGGTATGTAGGCATGTAGACTCTACAACATTAGGTATGCATACTCGTACAGTATGTCTAAAAAGTATGTCCCCTGGTTTGGCTCTCCCACAGGAGGCGAATCGGTAACTTGGCTGAATCCCAGTTGCGGCAACCGGCCGCCAGGGTCGCTGCCGCGCGAGCGGCCTTGACCGCTCGCATGTCATTGGCAGTTCGGTCCCTCCCCATCTATACAGAGGTGGGGAGGGGAGAAGAGGGGAAGAGAAGGGAGGGAGCGGTATCCGCTCGGCACTGGGCGATACCTGGCTGACCCCGCGCTC